CACCTCAGACCTGGGTTCAACTGAGAGTGTGGGTGTGTCATACAGTCCTGTGAGAGAAGGTGGCTAGTAGGGTAAGAGCATCCTTTTTTTTTTTTTTTTTTTTTTNAAATCTTTAAAACCTCATTGCTGCTTTTAGTTGTAGTAAAATATACATAAATTTACCACCTTAACTATTTTCAATTGTATAGTCCCGTGATATTAAATACATCCACACGATTGTACAACCATCATCACCATTAATCTCCAGAATGCTTTTCATCTTGCAAAACTGAAACTCTATACATTAAACATTAACTTTTCATTTCCTCCTTCCCCCTGGCAACCACCATTCTACTTTATGCCTTTGAGTTTGACTATTTTAAGTACCCCAAAGAAGTGGAATGTACGCTTATTGATCCTTTGATGTTGGGCCGATTTCACACAATAAAACATCCTCAGGTTACCGAGTCTCAGGATTTCCTTCCTTTTTAAGGCTGAATAATATTCAGTTGTATGAATAGACCACATTTTCTTCATCCACTCATTCACTGGTAGGCAAAGTTGTTCCTACCTTTTCTCTGTTGTGAATACTGCTTCCATGCATGTGGGTTTACTAAAGTCATCTGTGCTTCTGCAAGTCCATAGGTGACTCTGATATTGACTTAAACTTGAGACCCACAGCCCTCAATGGAAGGGAAGTGTCTGGCCCAAGATTACCTGGCCACCTCCACTCCATCTACCTTGCTTTTTCCACACCACCATTCCACCCTCACGTGCTGTGTCACTGATTTGAATTTCCTGACTTTGACTCATAGTCTGTCTTCTGCTAGAACCCAAGAACCACAAAAGCAAGACTATTTGTCTGGAATCTCCCTAGGAGTGGTTCTCACCCAATCCCTGCCTGATAGGAATACAGAGCTTCTAGCCTCATTTCAAGACTATGCTGAAAGGTCAGCCAGGTCCAGAGATCCACATTTGCTCAGTTGAAGTCTCTGTCCTTAAATTTTTTATTTAAAAAATATTTTTGGCCATACCACATTGCACGCGGGATCTTAGTCCCCTGGCCAGGGATCGAACTCTCATCACCTGCATTGGAAACATGGAGTCTTAACCACGGCACTGACCACCAGGGAAGTCCCCGAGGTCTCCCGTGGAGCTGCACTGCTGTCCACCTGCCATTTCTGTGAGCAGTGAGGGTCTGTGCTGCTCACTTATCACAGGTGCTGTTTTTAAGGACACTCCACGGTGATTCCCTCTGGGCACAAACATCCATCTTAGAGTCTCTTTTCCGAGGAACCTAAGACCCATCTGCTTCTAGGACATAGAGACAATTCTCTAAAGATAATCCCGTAGGCATTAACCGACCCCCTGCATTGCCACCAAGACAAACTAATATCTGAGTGAGGCTTGGGAGAGACACAGGGAGATGAGCAAGTGAGGACATTCTGGAGGACTCAGGTTGACGAGATGACCCTACAGCTGCACCATGGGACAGTTACCTGTTACCACCAGCTCCAGAGGGTCGCTGAGCTCTGACCAGAGCTCCCCACTTCGGTAGGAGCACCTGTATTGCCCTGCGGTGTGCGAGGTCATGGCTGGGATGGGGAACTTCACCCAGTTCATCACTGGGGGTGACTTCGGTCTCTCCGAGGCAGAAAGGCCCCCCTCAAAGTGCAGTTGGTACTCCACGGCCTCGCCAGCTCCCCGACACCCGATGGCAGCTGGTCTTCCCTTTGGGATCATGAAACTGGGTCTGACCCAGATGGCAGGTTTCGAGAGCATCTCTGGAAGGGAATCAGAGGCAGGAGTCCCTGAGAAAGCCCCCCGCCCAGCCTCCCGTCCACCCGAGTGCTGGCTGCGAGCCTTCCTAGCCAGTCTGGGTCCCTGGCCTTTCCTCCAGCTGTTTTCAAGCAGACACAGCAGCTGAATCTGACTTGGGGGCTTTGAAGGTAGGACTTACGCTTCTGGGTGGTGGTCCTCTGGCTCAGACCCAGCCCTGGAAGACAGGAACAATGAGATATGTTGCCCCATCTGCGCTAGACCCCTCAATTCCATCTCTCTTCCATGTGAGAACTCACCAAGGATGAGAAGGACAGCAAGTATGGAAGGCATCGCTCAGATTCTTCCCGGTGAATGTGGACAGCTGGGTGGAGATGGAGCCCTGCGGGCCAGGGGGATGCGCAGGATGTGGTAAGTGAAGCCCGGGAGCAGTCGCCCAGGGGCTTTCACACTGACTTGTTTACTGATGATTCAAAGGTCTTCCTCCACCTCTGGCCACTGGCAGTAAGGAAAAGACGCAGTTCCCATGATGCATCTGAGTGTATCTGTGGTTTCTAACCAGAGCCTCTGACCATGGTCTGGTCCCCGGCTGAAACTCATTTCTAGGTCAACTGGTAAATTTTGAAATGCGGACGTTATGCCCAGGGCATAGGGCAGTGTACAGAGCAAAACCCTTAAAGTCATTCTAAAAATATATCCTTGACTTTGGCTCCTCTGCATCCAGCATTCATGTGCTGGGATGTTAATTGATTTCACCAGAATGGAATGATAGGGGGACTTCTCTGGTGGCTCAGTGGTTGGGACATCGCCTTCTGACGTGGAGGGAGTGGGTTCCATCCCTGGTCAGGGAGCTAAGATCCATGCCACAAGGCCAAAAAGCCAAAACAGAGAACAGAAGCAATATTGTAACAAATAAAGACTAAATAAAAAATTAGTCTTTCAATAAAGACTAAAAAAAAATGATAAAACTGTCTCCTTCTTATACACTAACAATGAGAAAACAGAAAGAGAAATTAAGGAAACAATACCATTCACCATTGCAACAAAAAGAATAAAATACTTAGGAGTATATCTACCTAAAGAAACAAAAGACCTATACATAGAAAACTATAAAACACTGATGAAA